ATTAGAGATGTTGAGCATTTTTTATATGTTTGCTGGCCATTATTCTGTCTTCTTTTGTTTTTTTTTTCTTCTTCTTGATTTAATGATAATTTCCTTGACTGTGCAGAAGCTTTTTAATTTGATCAGATCCCATTTATTTATTTTTGTTGCTGCTGTCATTGCTTTGGGGGTCTTCTTCATAAATTCTTTGCCTAAGATGATATCTAAAATAGTCTTCCCAACATTTTCTTTTCCCCAGTGTATATTTTTGTCTGGTTTGTCAAAGATTAGATGACAATATGCAGATGGTTTCGTATCTGAGTTCTCAGTCCCGTTACAAAGCTCTATATCTCTCTTTTTGTGCTGTACCATGCTGTTTTGGTTACCATAGCCTTGTAGTAAAACTTGGAGTCTGGTAGACTGATACCTCCCAATTTGTTCTTTTTGCTTAATATTGCTTTGGCTATACGGTCTATGAACTTTCTGTCTTTTGGATGTGAAAATTTAATACTATTAGTTTTACTCTCAGTAATGCTTTTGCTGTATCCCACAGATTTTGATAACTTGCATCCCCATTATCATTTAATTCAAAGAATCTTTTGATTTCCATCTGGATCTACTCCTTGACCCAATAGTCATTCAGCAATAGATTGTTTAATTTCCATGACTTTGTGAAGTGGTGAGTGTTTCTGTTGGAATTGATCTCTATTTTTATTCCACTGTGGTCTGAGAAAATACATGGCATAATTGCTATTTTTTTAAATCTGATTTGTGGCCTAGGATGTGATTGATTTTAGAGAAAGTTCCATGAGGTGATTAGAAGAATGTATATTCAGTTTTATTTTGGTGGAATGTTCTGTAGATATCTGTTAGACCTATTTGTTCTAGAGCTCTGTTTAAGTCCATTGTTTCTTTGCTTCTTTTCTGCTTGGAGGATTTGTCTGGTTCAGTCAGTGGGGTGTTGAAATCCCCAGCTACTATGGCATTACTGTTTATCATGTTATGTAGATCAAACAGGGTTTGCTTTATGTATCTGGGTGCTCCTGTGTTGGGTACATAAATATTAAGAATTGGTAAGTCTTCTTGTTGGATTTTTCCCTCCACCACTATATAGTGACCATCTTTTTCCTTACGTTTGCTGTTTTAAATTTTATGTTATCTGATATAAGAATAGCTACCCCCATTTTCTTTTGGTTTCCATTAGCCTGGAAGTTTGTCTTTCAACCCTTCACCTTGAGTCTGAAAGCATCTTTGTGGGTAAGACATATTTCATGGAGACAGCAGATAGTTGGCTTGTGTTTTTTTTCTCTATTCAGCCAGCCTATGTCTCGTCAGTGGATAATTCAAGCCATTAACATTTATTGAGAGAATTTATAGTTGGGGTAGATTTCTGTTCATACTATTGGATAAATTCTTATACTTTTGTTTTACCTCTCGAGCCATTGTGGAATCAGGGTTCTGGACTTTAACTCTTGAGTGAGTTTACATTGGTGGGTGTCTATTGTCCTGTTCAGTGTATAAAGCAGTGGTGAGTACTTCCTGTAGGGCAAGTCTGGTCTTCGCAAATTCCATCGGTGATTGCTTGTCTGGCAAAGTCTTTATTTCTCCCTTGTACAAAAATCTTAATTTTTCCAGATAAAGAATTCTAGGTTGGCCATTATTCTCTTTCAGAAGATTGAGGATGGGTCCCCAGTTCCT